CTAGAAGGGTCTAGGTCCGAAACGTCAGCCTTCCTGCTCCTCTGATGCTGCTTGGCCTGCTGTGTTCGTCCAGCTCTACACCTTGTTATCTCAGCTTCTCCAGCATTTGCAGTTCCTACTATCTCTGCCACAAAGCATCCCTTTTGGTTGGCACTGTGCCCACAAACAATTACTCCTTTTAACCACCGACACACATTAACAACAGTGTGCCATCTATAAAATGCACTACAACAATTCCCCAAGGCTCCTTGTATTACACATACAAACCAGTAACCAGCACATTCTAAAAGGACAAGAACAACAGGTACATGGGAATACCACTCCCTACAAGTTCCCCTCCAAAACATTTATCATCCTGACTTGGAAATATATTGCCATTCATTTAGTGTCACTGGTGAAAATCCTGAAACTCCCTTTTACCAGCATTGTGGTTACACTTGTACCAAATGGACTAAACCGTTTCAAAAAGGTCGCTTACCACTGCTTTCTCAAGGGCAACTACGGATGGGCAATTAATGCATGCCACCCAGTGATGCCCATATCCTGTGAATGAATTATTTAAAAAAGTATATTCCTTCTCTAAAGTAAAATTCTAAAGAGAGGATACACCATTCCACAGTTAATTAAAGAAATAAAGGAAAAAAATCTTGAGGAAAATGTATGCAACATCGTAGAACTGAGTGGCAGGTCAAATGATTGGTCAGCATATAAAGAATGGCAGTGAATGGCTAATTAAGAGGAAGAAATTAGAGTATGAGAAGAAGTTTGCTGTGGCTGTAAAACAGCAAGAGTTTCTACAGGCCTTTATAAAATGGAAAAGAGTACGTAAAATGAGTTTTGATCCTTTAGTAAACTATGAAGAAATGACAGATGAAACAAACAAATATCTTGCTTCTGTCTTCATTATAGAGGATATGAAAAGCATTCTAGCATGTGGAAGGGAGAGAAGAACTTGGTGAAATTGTAATCAAAAGGGAAGTGGTACTATGAAAATTGATAGTGCTGTGGGCTGACTAGTCTCCAGGTCCAAATGGACTTCATCCTAAGCTCAAAGAGATGGCAAATGAACCAGATGCGTTGTAGTAAATCCTCCAAGAATTCCCTCTATTCAGGAATGGTTCCTTTAAATTGGAAATTAGCAGACATAATCCCTTTATTCAAGAAAGGACAGGGGTGGAAAACAGGAAAATAAAGAAGTTAGTTTGCCATCTGTCATACAGAATGTGTTAGAATCAATCATTTAAAAAATTGTAGCTGTGCATTTGGAAAAACTGAAGGTAATTGGGAGGAGTCAGCATGTTTTCGTTGAAGGGAAATCCTGTTTAACAATTTTTTTGACTAAGTAACCTGCTGTGGATAAAGGGGGACCTGGAGACATAGTTTACTTGGATTTCCAGAAGGAACTGTGATACGATATCATATCAAAGATCATTGCAGAAAATGACAGTTCATAGTAGAGGAGTTAGCTTATTAATATGTATGGAAGATTAGCTGGCAAGAAATACAGTATGCATAAATGGACCTTTAATTGGTAAGATATGATGACTGAAGTATCAATAGGCTCTGTGCTAGAGCCCAAACTTCATACCATTAATATCATGACTTTGATTAGTCTTAGCATGGTAGATAAATTTGCAGATATCAAGATAGGTAGGAAAGTAAGTTGTGAAGAAGAGATAAGATGGTTGTCAGAGGATACAAATAAGGTTTAATGAGTGGGCAAAAATCAGACAGAGAGTGTATAATGTGGAAAAATATAAAATTATTCACTCTGGCAGGAGCAATGAAAAAGCAGGTCATTACTGGAGAAATGAACGACTATGGAATTCTGAGTTGCAGAGGGACCTAAGTGTTCTGGAGTCATTGAAAGCTAAAATGCAGGTACAGAACATAATCAAGAAGGCTAGTGGGATACTATGCTTTATTATAAAACAAGTTGAACATAAAAGTAAGGATGTCATGCTTTGCTTATATTGCTCATTAGTGAGACTACATCTTGAATACTGTATGCAGTTTTGGTCTGCATACTGAGGGATGTAAATGCATTGAAGGTAGTTCAGAGGAGGTTTACTAGATTGATATCTCAAATGAATCTTAAAAGGATAGGTTGAAGAGGCTGGGCTTGTTTCGACTGGAGTCTAGAGAGAGGATAGACTTGATTGAAATGTATAAGATCCTGAATGTTCTTAACAAGGTGGACGTGGAATGATGTTTCTTCTTGTGGTAGCTCAGAACTAGGTGTCACTGTTTTCAAATGAAGGGTTGCCCCTCCAAAACAGATGAGGAGAATTTTCTTCAGAGAGTTGTGTTATTTTTAAAGCAAATACAGATTTAGTTTAGGAAAGGAAATCCAAGGTTATTGGGGGTAGGTGGGAATGTAGAATTTGAAACACAAACATTACGATGGAAGAGTTTTCCTTATTATTCCAGTGAAGCATGACCTTAATTTACTACACTGCTTGTCCCATCCAATCCTTGCGATCATTAAGGATGAAAAGGAGACCCATACCTAACTGTCATTAATGCTATTTATCATTATCCAATTATTATATGGTGATATGTTTCTCTTATTTTAGGATGGGGAAGTAACAATGAAAATGATAGTTTGACAGCGTGTAGGAGGCAGTGTTACAGAAGCAATGTAATTGATGCTGAAAGCATTTCTAAGGGATATACCTTGTTTCATTCTCATCAGTATTCCTAGGCTTAATCCAACGATATGTATAACTTGCTTTTCAAATCAAGCATCTACCAGGTGAATGATCGTAGCTGTATTCTTGGCCTTTTCAATAAAATGTAAATTCGTTATCCTAATTTCCCTTGTGTATTGCCCAGTTATATCTTTCCAAAATCCTTTCTAACCCTTAGTTGAGTATTGGCAAACAGACAGACTAGACTGCAAATCGACTGGATTTTTCATATGTATATCATCGTATACCAGAAAATCACAGGTGTATTGTTTAAAATGATTTCTTAACAGCAAAAACATGATGTATCACACTGAATTTGATTGGCTGTCTTGGAGGCATGGGATCCTCATTCAACTGCCCAGTTGCATTTAAGCGACGTGTGGTATTTGCAGGGGAGTGGAGGAAGAGTGGTATGCATGTAGTGGTATTTCACTGCCTTCTGGATGAAGTAAGACATAGTAGCACAGTCAAAAAGGTGGTCACATATGACAAGACAATAGCAGTAAGCCTTGCAATGGCCCTATTTAAGAAAATTTGTTTAAAATGGACCCAAGTATCCCCTCTGCTCATAATTGTTATCAAGGAAACCATGACTTAAAAGATTTCTTGGAAAATTTAAATAGAAATACCCTGAGGCCTCTCTTCCCCAATAATACAGGCTCCAGTTCTTTACAATCATTAAATTTGCCGAGCAATTCTTCTGATGAAGATCTCATAGTGTTGCATGGTAAAACCTTACAATTAGTCTACTTCACTATGAAAAATCAGGTAATTATGATGTGATAAATGGATAACTAAATCACAGGAGGAATATTTTTGAGATTGGTAACATGGAGTAATTTGGCTTTTCATTTGAAAGATTAATCTCTTTAGTTCAAACTTGAAATTAAGCAATTAGTTGGAAGAATAATGCTGATATTGAGCAAATATATAAATCTGGTTTAAAGTAATCTCTTTAAAAAGCTGTATTTTGATGATTTTGCATTTGAAATGTGGAAAGAAATAATTATTTACCTTCTACATTAACATTTAGGCGACTAATATGATTCAGCAGACACATTCTGCTCAAAAAGAAATTTTGCAAGAAAAGGAGTCTCTCCTACTGAAAATCAAGCTGTTAGAGCAGGATAAATCAAGACTTCAACGGTATGAAGATGACTTAAGTCGAATAAAGGCACAACTAGAAGCCGAATCCCGCTTGAAGCAACGACTTCAGGATGAAATTGATGCAGTTAAATCTGATCTAAGTTACTGGAAGAATCAAGCAGAAATACGACAGCTAGAAAAGGGCAAAACCAGTAGTGAATTTGAGCAGTTGAAAGCTGAAATTGACAGATTGAAGACAGAGCTGAGAATAACCGAAGAAAGGTATAGACAGAAACTTGAGGACAGTGAAAGAGCAAAGAGATCTGAACTGGAAGCATTGCGTGCTAAAACTAAATTAGAAATTGAAAAACTCAGTCAAGAAGCACCAACGTTCAATAAACACACTCAGACAGATGATATAGTTACAGTTGATTCTTCAAAACTTGTATTTGATGGAGTCCGTAAAAAGGTCACAGCAAATCAGTTGTATGATTGTCAACTTATTGATAAATCAACTATAGATCAGCTATTAAGAGGACAGAAAACAACTGTTGATGTTTCAGATGAAATTAAATTGAATCTTCGTGGTTTGGAGAACATAGCTGGAGTTTACTCACAGAAAAATGGAGAAAAACTTTCTATGTCAGAAGCAACGAAAAGGAATATTCTTACTCCTGATGTGGCCTTGACACTTTTAGAAGCACAGGCAGCTACTGGATATATCATTGATCCAAACAAAAACAAGAAGATGACAGTGGATGAAGCTGTAGCTGTGGGTCTTGTCGACTATAAAGACCGAGACAAACTTCTGGCAGCAGAGAAGGCTGCAACTGGGTTTAAAGACTCTTTTACAGGAAAAGTTATCTCACTGTATGAGGCAATGAAGAAAGATATCATTGACCGAGAGACGGGTCTTCGTTTGTTTGCGGCGCAGATTGCAGCAGGCGGAGTAATTGATTCGGTGAACAGCGTATATCTGCCAAAAGAGCTTGCATATAAACGGGGATTGATTGATGCAGAAATGTATCAAACACTTGCCTCTCCTTTTGACGACTCAAAAATTTTTGTTGACCCAAATACAAAGACAAAAGTTTCCTACCAACAATTAAAGTTGGCCTGTAGAACAGATCCTGGAACAGACTTGCTTCTTTTACCAGTGGAAAAGCATGAAATAACGTTACCAGGGATTAGAGCAGATGTGCCAGTAGACAGCCTTGTGGAAGCCAAGGTTATAGATAAAACTACAGCTGCTGCTCTTAAGCATGGAAGTGTAACAGTAGAGCAAATCACTAGCAAGTGTAGAAGTTACCTGCAAGGCAACCCTAGCATTTCAGGAGTGTACATTGAAGCCACAAAGGAGAAGCTTCCAATCTACCATGCCATGAAGAAAGGCTTGCTTAGACAGGGCACAGCTCTTGAGCTTCTGGAAGCTCAGGCCGCCACGGGCTTTATAATTGATCCAGTCAATAACCAAAAGCTGACAGTTGAGGATGCTGTTGCAAAAAGAATTATAGGTCAAGAATTCAAAACTAAACTTCTTTCAGCTGAAAAGGCTGTTACCGGTTATAGAGATCCAGAAACTGGAAATATCATCTCATTGTTTCAGGCAATGAGAAAAGGCCTGATCGAACCCAGTCATGGTATTCGCTTGCTGGAAGCTCAAATTGCAACCGGAGGAATTATTGATCCAAAGCAAAGCCATCGTTTGCCAGTTGATGTTGCTTACAAACGTAATTATTTTGATGAAGAACTGAATGAAATCTTGATGGATCCAGGGGATGATACCAAAGGCTTCTTTGATCCCAACACAGAAGAAAATCTGACCTATCTTCAGTTAGTTGACCGGTGCATTACTGATAAATCCACAGGCCTTTGTTTGTTGCCACTGAGAGAAAAGAAAAAGGAATCCAAAACCACCAGGTCATCTGCAGTGAGGAAACGTAGAGTTGTTATTGTAGATCCTGATACAAATCAAGAAATGACAGTCCGTGAGGCCTACCACAAAGACTTGATTGATTATGAGACTTTTCTAGAACTTTCTGAACAGGAAGCAGAGTGGGAAGAAATAACAATAACAGGATCGGATGGAACCACAAGGACAGTTATTGTTGACAGAAAAACTGGTAATCAGTATGACATTGAAGAGTCTTTAAAGAAAGGTTTAATTAATAAGAAGAGTCTTGATGACTACCGCTCTGGAAGTATGACACTTACGCAATTTGCAGATATGTTCACCGATAAGATTAATATCAGCACATACAATGGATGTGCGACAAATAGTTTGACAAACCTTAGTCCATGTCAATCCCCAAGTATTAAAATAACAACATCTTTTGAATCTTCAGATGATGCCACTCCAATTGCAGCTATATTTGATATTGAAACATTGGAAAAGATAACAATTTCTGAAGCCATACGTCGCAATATTGTTGATGCTATTACAGGGCAGAGATTGTTGGAAGCCCAGGCCTGTACAGGAGGTATAATAAATCCTGGAACTGGTCAAAAACTGCTCATTCAGGATGCTGTTGCTCAGGCTATTATTGATGAAGACATGGGAAAGAGATTAAAGCCAGCACAAAAAGCATATATTGGTTTTGAAGATGTGAAGAGCAAAAGAAGGCTCTCTGCAGTAGAAGCAATGCAAGAAAATTGGTTACCATATGAAGCTGGACAACGCTTCCTTGAATATCAGATGTCTACAGGTGGGCTCGTTGTGCCAAATGTTTCAGGACGAATCACTGTTGATGAAGCAGTAAGAAAAGGTTTCGTTGGTGCCAAAACAGCTGAGAAACTGAAAGACAGCAGTAGCCATTCAAAAGGCCTAACCTGTCCCAAAACAAAATTGAAGATTTCATATAAAGAGGCAATAGATCGATCTATGGTTGAAGATAAAACTGGCCTACGGATGTTGGAAGCTGCATCATTTTCTACAAAAGGAATTAATAGTCCTTATAATGCAGGTGGATTCTCTGGACCAAATTCCCGTTCAGGTTCTCGTTCAGGTTCACGAAGTGGGTCGAGAAGAGGAAGTTTTGATGCCACCTCATACAGTGTGTCTGTCAGTACACACACAACCCATTTGAGCACTTCCATGCGCTAATTGTTTGCTACAAATATCTAAACAATGTGGATTTCCAAAATTTGTTGAAGATCCAAAGTTTTACTTTTATTTTTAGATTTTTTATTCCACACTTGTGCCCTGTTAAGATCAGCACCTGTTACGTGCAGAGAAGATTTAATTTGTATTATGTTTATTAATCAATATCCCAAGATTTCAAATAATAAATGATTCACTTAGGTTAGCTTGTCAGCGGAGGTGAGGCATCAGGAGATTGCCCACTTGTTTGCATTACCAGAGACTTGGCACTATTAGAGCTCAGGATGCTATGGGACACTGATGGCCCAACCCACATTCAAAATTGAAGACTACAGCTGACAGTGACACAGAAGTTCAATTCCTGTCACATGCATCCCCAAATGCCATAATGACTCTCATACCCTGTGATATTTATATGGGAATAATGAGTTTATAGGTTATAGGACATTAACTAATACTTAGTAATTGCATAGTAAAGTATCTGGCTCCTTGGATGGATAATATCTGAGGAATGTAATATAAAAGCAAAATATTGATGCTGGAAAACTAAATTGAAAGCATAGTATTGAAAATACTGAGAAGGGAAGGCAAGGTTCAGGTTTTGAGTCAAGTGTGACACTTTGTCAGAATAGATTGTGTGCTGTATTCTGAAGAGGAGCCCCATTCACCTCAGGGGCCTGAATTCTCCTCTCACTCTGTGTATGCTGCCAGACCTGAGTGTTTCTATCACTTTCTAGCGATAGGCGGTACAATTTCAAACTTAGGGTTTTCCCATTTAAAATAGAGATGAGAAGGACTTTCCTTCTGAGAGTATTTGGAATTCTCTTCCACAGAGACCAGTGAAGGCTAGGTCATTGTCTAACAGCCTTGAGCATATTCAGAGTTTTTAATCAATCGGAGGGTCCGGTGTTAAAGTGACAGGGAGAAAAATGGAGTTAACACCATATTCAGATTGGCCCACTTTCCTTATAGCTCATGGGCTTCAGTATGAAACGTATTGAAGAGATTCTTTTACATAGTTAATGCTGTGTATTATATAGCTGGTTCAAAATGCCTTAGATTTGTGCCAATGAAGGGAAACAGTTTAAAAATGTTAATTCTTCATGGGAATTTATTGTGTAGCACTGAGTTTACTCTGCATTGAAAGGTTTCTGTACATGAAGAATATAAGTTGATTAAGGGGCTTCACTGGAATGAATGTAATCTCATAACTGCCTTGTAATAGGATGTTTTGAGTAGTGGGGCAGAGGAAATCATTTTTAAAATCATAATTTTTAATGAATATTCATTACATGGATTTTCTGACCACGAGCTAATTAAAATAAATACTCATCAGTTTGTATGCATGCTAAATTTTAAGATTGTATTCTTACTTTTCTTTTATTAATAAAGTTTCATAATTTCATCATTTTAAGTGACTTTGTATCTAATTAAATAATTATGTTATCAATACTACTATGTTCACATGTTGAAATATCAAGTTATATAAGTGGGCAATGCAGTTTCAGGATGCAGGAGACATTTTTTTTAAGTGCATGACAGGCCACCCTTGGACTCCAAGTTTTATTCCTGGGCTGGGTGTGCAGAGACAGGTGAATTTCCAGGTATGTGAACCTGTCCTTTTAAATGGCTGCTACCTAATTTTCAGTGCAGAGCATTGGAAAATGGATGTGACCTAGGAAAACCTGAGCAGGACGCTAGGCATGGAGCCAGGGAGGCAGAAAGCGTGCCTGCCTTGGGTCTTGAGTTTAAAATTAAACATTAGATGCCCACCTCACTCCGTACATTTGTTTGGTGACCCATCCATGCCAATTATGTCTCTGTTCCCTCCATCAGGCTTATTATAGCATCCATGTCTCTCATCCACCATCTTTGCCCTTTTGCCTAGCATGCTAACTCACCTCGTATGTATTCTGGGCAGACCTAAGGACCCATAAATAGATGAGACAAAGTAAAGATATGTTAAATAAGGGTATTTTGGACTTTATTATAGTGAGAAAAATATATTAATAATAAAAACACATTCATTGCATTTCAATTCAATCACCTCAATGAAGCCTTAGAAAAGTCAACATTTTTTTTCATGTGCAGTAAACACTGGAATTGATAACCTCACATCAAGGATTCAGACAGCCTTGTAGTTGCAAAATGGACAACATCCACCATGATAACTGTTATGACTTCTGCCAGGTGATCAGGCCACAGAAGCATAACCCTCAGTTCCGCATCATGACTCTTCACATATTTCCAGTAGATTGTGAACAGTGGGTCGGGCAGAGACATTTTTTTTTCCCTTTATAGGACATCAGTATTAGCTTTACTGATTCGTTCTAGCTGTAGTTAATTGAATTTTAATTACATTTTGGTTCAGAAGTACAGTTTTTGGAGGAAAATATCCCCTTGCTAATCTTAATCAGGTTGCGAACAATGAATCTTATTTTGGAGCTAGACTGACACACAACAATGTTCTGTGCCTTATCAAGAGTTGGAAAATTCCTTTGATAGAACAGTCTCTGCTTTGCTCATTCTAGAAATATTTAAGATTATACTGTATTTATTTAAAATAAAAGTCCAATCTTTCCACTTTTATCAATTATAATCAGTGAATCAATATAACTTAAGATTTTTTTTGAAGAAGACTCGGGTTAGAGATAAAATGGCTTCTGTTGACTTTTATTTATTTTAGTAAAAGGAAACTAGCCTTGAAATGTCCTAAACCGTAAACAGAGACACACAGTTCAAAAATTTTTTGAATGATTAGGTTGTAAATCTCTGAGATAATTATCAGCACAAATCCCGTGTGAAACTGCAGTAATTGCTAGCTACTAGGAAATTAAATACATCGTTTTAAAAAGTTAAGTTTATCTTCAGTCCACAGCAGCCAGACAGGTTAGCAGGATACTAAGGAAATATTCTTGTGTCACTTTCAAGAATGTTTTCCACTGGACTATCTGCTATAGATAGCCAAAGAAGGAATAAGGGCATTTTAAGAAGGAACAGATCAAAACCTCACAACTTAAATGTTTGAGTCTCAGCTCTGAACCATCCTTTGAAACTGAACAGCGAAAGATGGAGACTATGCTGGATTTGCCAAGGGGTCTTTAAAATGTTCTTGTGCACCACACGGAGGAGGATGGCACTAATGTCTCCTGCCAAATCTTATCCCAGAATTGGAGTAGATGGTAAGTGGTAAGCCTGCCCTACAACTGGTTGAGGCCCTTATATGGCCACTTAAAGTCCCTTCTCACTACTGTAATATTTTATCGGAAGCAGTGGGATCTCATACCATGAGGTTAAGACACCAGTTTTACTGCATGCAGGCACTAGTCACTCTTGTTCGGGCACCAATGCCCAAGACAGCACTCCCAACAGATAAGGCTGTCCACATGAACTGTGTTCCCCAGCCCATCACAGATATCCTCCTTGTTGGGGGGAAGTGGGCTCACAATTGATTTGCATGCACTACTTCTGCAAAAAAAATCTAGCCTAGCTCCTCTTCTCACTTTCAACTTGTTGAAAGCTGTTGGTATCGGCAGTCTTTTTAAAGGGTTTATAAAATGGTAAGACGAAAGGTGGGGTACTGTCTTCAGGGGTCACACATTCAGACACTGCTTTGGAAAGCTCACCTCAAAGCACCCCATCTCCCTCTTGACCCCAAGCTTTCCAAATTGCCCGCCAGTCAACACCTCACACCAGGATCCATGCTGTTTTCTTTCTGTGCCTGCCTGCAGTTCCAGCAATGCTCTCCACTAATGAGTTCATGGCATTGTCGGAACTGCTGGCCAATCCAATTGGATGGCAATTCCTGAGGGTGATACTTTCTCCCCAGTGAGAGGTGGAACTTCCATAATTAGATGGTTTAGCCTGCTTGCAATGCATTGTGGCTTCAATGTAGGCTTCTTTCGAACTTCCAACTCATCACCAACATTTCATCAGTGTGGAGGGGATTCCAAGCAGTCCACCCCTCTCTAATCTTATGGCTAATATTTCTCATCTAGACACTGACCCTTGGTGAAATCATCTTCAAGCACAAATTTAGCTTCTGTACATACAGTGATAACATTCAGATCTACTTCTCCTGCCTTGGCAACTTAACGATTTGAACAGTTTGGACAATTGACTAACATTCAGTATCGAGTGAGCAAAACATTTTTTCCAATAGATGAATGCGATTGTCTTCATTCTTTGTCACAAATTCGATTCCCTAGCAATTAATTCTATCCGAATCCCCAGCCACCACCACCCTTCTTTACCTGGCCAAGCTTGTGTTCACTCTGAATAACTTCTCTTTCAACTCCTCCCACTTTCTTCAAGTCAGAGGTGTGGCCATGGGTACCCATTTGGGCTCCAGTTATGTCTGTCTCTTTGTGGGTTATGTGGAACATTCCTTGTTCCAGTATTACTTGGGCCCCCATTCACAAATCTTTCTCTGCTATATTGACGACATCATTGATGCTGCCTGTCTCACTCGGAATTGGAAAAGTTTATCTACTTCGCTTCCAATTTCCACCCCTCCCAACACCCAACACACCCCCCCAAAAACATATACACATACATATTACCTGGTCTGTTGCTGAATCCTCCTTTCCCTTTCCCGACCTGATGAAATGTATCCCAGAACATTGTGGGAAGTAAGGGAGGAAATTGTGAGACCCCTTGCAGAAATACATGCATCATCTATAACTATGGGTAAGATGCCTGATAACTGGAGGGTGGCTAATGTTGTACCTTTGTTTAGGAAAGGTTGTGAGGAGAAACTGGGGAACTATAGATCAGTGTGTCTGACTTTGGTTGTGAGTAAGTTGTTGGAGGTGATTATAAAAGATAGAAGTTATGGACATTTAGAGAGGCAAAAATTGATTAGGGATAGTCAGCATGGTTTTGAGCAAGGAAAATTGTGTTTCATTTTAAAAGATTTTGGATGGATGCATGAGTAGGAAATGTTTGGAGAATATGGGCCAGGATCAGGTAGGCAATACTGGTTTAGTTTGGGATTATGTTCTGCATGGACTGGTTGGACCAAAGGGTCTGTTTCAATGCTGTATGACACTATGACTCTATGACATCTTTGTTTCCATTTCTGAGGATAGGCTGGCCACCAATATCCTTTACAAACCCACCAACTACCACAGTTACCTTGACTATACGTTCTCACATCTGGCTTCCTGTAAAGAATATTCCATTCTCCTAGTTCCTCCATCTATGTTGTATCTGTTCTGATGATGCCACCTTCGACAAGGGGGGAGGGCTCCAAAATGTCCACCGACTTCCACAACCAAGGATTCCCCAGCACCATGGCTGACAGTCATGTCCGACCCATCTCCCACACCGGCTGTCATCCCTTCTCTTCCCTCCAGCAACAGTGACAGGGTCCCCCTTGTCCTCACCCTCCATCCCACCAGCATCCACATCCAAGGATCATTATCCACCACTTTGACTGCCTCCAGCAGGTTGCCACCACTAGACACATACTCCCTTCCCCTCCCTTGTCAGCCTCCTGGACACCCTGGTCCACTCCTCCTTCATTCCCAACAAGTCTCTATTGCCCCACTGCATCTTCTGCCACAATTGCTGAAATTGTAACACCTGCCTGTTTACTGTCTTCCACCACAACATACAAAGGCCTGAACACACTTTTCAGGTGAAGTAGTATTTTATCTGCACTTCACTCAATCTAGTCTACTGCATTCGCTGCTCACAATGTGGTCTCCTGTACATTAGGGAAACGAAGCACAGACTGGGTAACCACTTTGCAGAACAACTACGTTCTGTCCACAAAAATAACTCCCAAGCTTCCAGGTGGCTGCCACTTCAACAAACCACCATATTTCCTAGCCAATATCTTGTCTCAGGCTTGCTGCAGTGCTCCAGCAACACCAGCCAGAAGAACAGCGCCTCATTTTCCACTTGGGAACTCTGCAACCTTCTGAACTCAATATTGAGTTCAACTATTTTAGGCTTGAGCACCTTCTCCCATGTCCTCACCCCAACCCCCACACACCAGGCCTTATCATCACATGGGCTGCTACCACACACATCCTATTGTCAACTAATAGACCCCGTTAGCAGCTATTCATTCTCTCAGACTGACCTTCATGCATTGCTTTATCTGTCCAAATGTTTTTCTCTCTCTTTCTATTTCCAACTATTGTTTACTCTTCCCCCCTCCCCCGACCCCACCTTCTGTATAAATACCAACCTTTTCCTAGCTAAAATCTGTTCTGAAAAAGGGTCACTTGTTTTTCTCTCCACAGATGCCACCATATCTGCTGAATTTTTCCAGCAATTTCTGTTTTTGTGATTGTAATTAATTCCAATCCTCTCTGAGGCTGAATCTCACACTACTGATCACAAGATGAGATTCCACGTCTGACTCTCCTCTCTTCAAACCCATCTGCAGTTGAAACCTTTATC